GCAAGAAAAGCATTATGATATGCTGTGTACAGTATAACTATACAACAACTACATTATCCAACCATGAGTTCTGCCCAAAAACAACCTGAATTAAACTTCAAGAGCTCTCCACACACCGTGTATGAGCGTGCCAACAAGTACAACTGTACAAGTTGCATGTCGCATTGAAAGTTGTCTTATATGTACAAATCCAACATACGTAGTTATCTATGTCTACTTTGGCTTGGCTCCTTCACACAATAGTGTCCACCAATTAGTGCAGCAAACTTGCAGATACATATTGCAGACTAGAGTGTAATAATTCCATATTCATATTATTTACTCTTCGCTGGTGTATTAGCCAGTGTGATGTATGTGTGAATTCCCCGCTCAGGAAGCCCGGGCATGAAGGTTGTCACCCGGCTGCGCCAGTGAGTATAAGGAAGGAACGTAACTTCAAAAAGGTCAAGTATCTCTGCTAGTATTATTGGTTAGTACACGCGCCTGTCATTATCTCTATACGTACAAAACATAGAACGCGCGAAAGCTGGTTTCAACTCCCAGGCAGAAGGAACACCCCGTAAGTTACTTTGTAAGATCTAGTCTCTTAACCCTCGTGTACTACATGTAAAATTGAGTACACTTACACAGAACTTCTGTCAAAGTCAACATTGGCTGTACATTGATTAGCACTTATACGTACGCGTCTGGCTATGCGCGTCCGAGTCTGTCACCGCAAAATGAGCTATTCGTTAAGACATGTCAGGCGAATGCTGTATTCAACGCCGGTGTAAAAAGCATGGAGATCCCTCTTCAGATCGCGAGCCCTCTCTTGGAGAACAGTTTATGCTTCACACCAAAACGTCCTCCGAGGGCTTCGAGGTCTCCTTCGACGACGCCCAATAGCACCAAGCGGCCCGACACTTATAGGAAGCTGCGTCCTCTGAAACAGCCACAGCTTCCTCTCCTCGGTTATGGAAATAATATCAACTCTCCTCGACCTGATATGTATCGTGGCAGATTTGGGAAGTCTTCTAAGAAGCCTCAGAGGCCTCCAATGACGTCGAAGACCTCGTCTTCGTCCACCACGTACTCACAGGGATACGGATGGGAGGGCGGTACAGGCGGTTCAGAGGGTCGATGACATTGTAAAGCGGAGCTGGGGTGCACGGGACCTGGGTAATGAGGCCCGCCTGAGAGCGTAAGGACTTTGAGTCCTACCGGTTTTGGAAGGTCGACTGCTAACTGATCTTTCTTTGATTGGGTTGTCAATATCATGCATAGACCGACCTACGCACTTTGGAACTATACACTTTACAGGCTTGTTTTCTTTTTGGGATTTTGTTATTGATACATCTGCTTGGATCTTGGATTTGTGTTTTTGGAACTATGAATTATCACTAGCTTATTATGTCTTGTCTACTTGCTCAATACTATATGCCGTCTAATGGCCTCTGACTAGAATTTGGATGTACGGGGTAATGAGTGAAAACTTGGACACTAGGCGTCATCACATAGTTCCATGCTATACTTTGATTGGTGTATGGTTGCTTCCTGACTATTTACAGCAACGTCCTTGACTGGGACATAGGCTCATGCAACTCTTCTTACGCCTCCTAGCTGGTCAAATGAAACCAGAATAGGCTTGTGCTTCAAACATGGCTGGTGACAATATTTATAATGGAATTTAATCCCATTTCGTGTTTCGATGCACAGAAAAGAAATCGACAAGAAACATGGTAACTAACAGCAATCACCACGGCAACTCCAGTGGTGTAGGCAAATTTTTTCCGAGAACACGTTCAGCCTCGCCGATGTCCCTATAAACTTTGTTGAGGAGCTTGGTTAATGATCGAATGAGGTGCGGCATACCTTGGACCTCGCGGTGCCCAGAAAGTTCCCGTATGTTCATGGGTGAGAGTTGAAATAAAGTCGACGGTCGACCTCGCCGCCGCAGCGGGCTCTACAGCTGAGAAAAATTAAGTAGATGATGGACACTTTCTCTCAGAGACAACTTACCTCCGCCCGATTCCCAGTACTTATCGTAACCAACGCCCCTCGTCATGTCTGTTCTCATGAATCCGGGCTTTTCGATCACAATGGTCAATTGTAACATCAGCGCTGTGTACTTAAGATCTTACGTGAATCATGGTCACTGTGATCCCCTTATCATAGAAGTCATTTGCAAGTAGCTTTCCGACCATGTTTGCTGCGGCTTTGCTTCCGTGGTGGCCATAATTTCCACCCCCTTCTTCCTTGGTGCGTAGCTTGATCGAGCCACCCTCAGTAGTGATGAGAATGAATTTTGACGGAGACGCCAAAAGGTCGGTGAGATACCTGTGAGTAAATCGTCTATGACCTAATCAATCGTGCCAGAGATGAGATATGTACTTACAGATGATGGGCCAAAAAGACAGGCGCAATGGCGACAACCTTGTACATTTCGACTTCATCTTCGAAATTCGGTTCACCGAAGGACTAGTAGTTTGTAGGTTAGGAATATCTTCACTCCGAGTCTAGTGTAATACGACGACACACTTCTTTCTTGAAGACTCCTGCATTAACGATGACTACGTCAAGCTTCGTCTCCCCCAGGGCCACAGCGATCTTCGCTCCTGCATCTTCGTGAGCAATGTCGATTGGGCTGATGCGTTCTACGCCAGGCGGAAGCTGGATATCGCTTGAACGAGTGGTTCCAAAGGTCCGATAGCCATCTGCGTGGAGAACGTTTGTGAGCTCATATCCAAAACCACGAGATGCGCCGATGACAAGGGCCGTAGGCATATTCTATATAGTAGATGATGTCTTGAATCGCAATGCTCACAAACAAGCTCACCACAGAAACGTCACAAATATAATCGCGATCGATCGAAATCATAGACATCATGTTACTAAATATATACGTTGCCTACGTATACATCTCTTCACGAGAACATTAACTTATTTTACCGAACCGCGCGAATTTGATCAAGCGTATATGGATTGTATTGATGGTGGAGGCAAAGCACCGGCATATCATGAAAGAATTTTTTTGTGGAATTTCCGGAATTCCGGTAAAAAGTTGTGAAATACTTGAACATGTCGTTTTTGTAGGCAGAGGGTTCAGGTTTCGGGGGGCGGGGGGAGGGAAATCACAGAATCGAGGAAAGACGGGACCTGGAATGTGGTTGACAGAAAGGTCCAGTCGAAAGAGCAAAACCCGCTGCGAATACGATATCTCGTGACCTCGAAGTGACCTCACGTGCACCGATTCGGTTGGATTGTCCACAGTCAAAAGTCATGCCTCCCAAAAAGTCATGCCCTCCGATCTGTTGATCAATGCGGACTTGATCTTGAGGAGCGCAATGTTTGGAGAGTCTTACTGCATAAGAAGAGACCGCCTCCTTGGACCCTCCCGGACCATATCCAGAGTCAGATATAACGATTCCCTCGTAGCAGTCCGCATCGTGGATTTCTTTCTGAAGGACTTTTGGGACCATGCCCATGATGATTACCTAGGATCTACGCCGTATAACCGACTCTACAAAATTAGATCATGTCTCAATCATGCGTGTGACACTAATAAGGAAATGTACACCGCCATCGTTGCGTTGAGTCATTTGTAACAACAGTACTAGTATTTAATGCGACTGTGTGAGTCCTATCATCGTCTTCCATGATACTTATTCTGCATGAAGTAAACACTGTCCAGTCCGTTTTGATACGGGAGATCTACACCATTGCAATGTCCCTCTCGACAATCTTTCGACGTGCAGGGACCGGATCCTGAATGAATTAGGCAAAATTAAGCAGACCAAGACAGAGTGCCATAAAATAGGTGTTAAGTTTCCTAAGTGTTGGTGTTTAGCCTTAGCCTCATCTCTCAGGCTTAGCTTCGTGATAGATATAGATGTCCTTTCACTGGCCTCTATCATGAACAGTCTTGCTCGAACATGGAAGATGTCAACGCAGACAGCTTGAGTTCCACTAATCCTGTGACAATCGATGCAGACGTGGCTCATCATCCACGGAGAGTGCACACGATGGTGATCAGGTCAGTACTCTATTATTATGACAAGTATTGCTTCTCTTATGGATCATTTAACAGAAATATGCAGCAACAGTCTTTACAATCCTTCATGGTTGGCCATGAAGAAAGAGCAAGAAGTTAGCCTTCATAATATTATAACGATGGCAAGGGATTTACGCGTTCGCTTTGACCGCTTCGAACTCTGGCTTGAACCAGTGCCTCATCAAGTACGTCCCATGGTCGACTCGCTGTTTTTCATTCAAGCTTCATTTTATAGGGAAATATCTATGATTTGTGTGCGCACAGGAGTTAGATGCCATGGCTCTGCAGAACCCACCATGTGTCACCCTCACTGTCGAGTCTGGGGCTGCAGCTGCTGCGGTGCCAAGGGCAAAGCACTCAAGCTGCCCGATCCAGTCTTGATTGCCATTTGCGCTGCATGTGTTCGTGTTGCGAATTTATCCGGTGCTGTCGAGCAAATCAGTTATGTTGGATGATGCGGAAGATATAATGGTACTGGCAAATAATAGGAATATGGCCGAACTTTTTCATGGGCGTTTACTGTTGAAAGCTATGCGTGATGTGACGCGAGTCCCGGCAGACATCCAGTGACCAAGTCGCGGAGGTCTCGTAGCCTAGGAGGACTTGACCTTCCCAAGCGGAGAATTCATACATGCAACGTCAGATGCGTGTGCTGGCTGATATACTAGCAAAGAATAATATGCGATTGAATATGGGAATGGTACATTCTAAGCTATATCTGCAAGTTTGCTGCACTGATATTGTGTGAAGGAGCCAAGCCAGAATAGACAGAGGCAGCTGCGTATGTTGAATTTTGGTACATAAGACAACCATCAATGGGACATGCAACTTGTACAGTTGCACTTGAGGCGGCCGTCACAAGTGCTTACCGATTTCCATCCAGATTCATCCTTGCTCGCGTCGCAGTTTTGCCACCCCCAGCCGCGCCAGCGATTTTAGACAAGGAACGTAATATCAAGGAAAATAACTATCTTTGCTAGTATATCGGTTAGTACACGCGCCTGTCATTCTAATTATCTAAAGACATTGATCGCGCGAAAGCTGGGTTCGACTCCCAGGCAGAGAGATGATTGATTGCTGATAATCTACTTTTGTTCACTAGTACGACATCCGGTCTTAATCAATTTGTGTACGACGTGTAAAATTGAGCACACTTCTGTCGAAGTCAACATTGGCTGTATATTGATTGGCACTTATATGTATGCATCTGGGCTGTGCGTCCGAATCTGTCACCGTAAAATGAGCTATTCGTTAGGGCTATATTCGACGCGGGAGGGACAGATACAGATGTTGTAGGTGTTGAACGCCCAACTTTTGTAAAGTACCAATCATTACTGGGGGAATCCGCATGTTCGCCGTGATCGTAGGGACACGTTGAGAGGGGAGGAGAGGATGGCTCTATATTTGAGAAATGGTGGTAAGTATAACAAGCATGCACAGGTCTCAAGCTAGATCAAGATTCCTCGTTGTACTTCGGATTTTGAGATCTTTGCTAGTATATCGGTTAGTACACGCGCCTGTCATTATCTCTCTCTGATATAATGGTCGCGCGAAAGCTGGGTTCGACTCCCAGGCAAAGAGATTTCTGTTCCATCATGGATGCTTTGATTTTTGTTCTGTCGTAATCCGGTCTCCAGGGTCAACCATATACAGTACTTCAAGAGAACTTCTGTCAAAGTCAACGTTGACTGTGTATTAACTAGAACTTATGTATACGTTACGCACGTCCGGGACTTTTACTGTAAAATGAGTTATTCGTTAAGATTATGCCAGGATACAAGCATGACCCTTGAAATCGAGGATTTCCCGTTTGAATAGGGGCATTAAGATTTGATTTAATAAGTTCTTTGCTAGTATATCGGTTAGTACACGCGCCTGTCATCAGTACTGCTTGCAAAATAAACGCGCGAAAGCTGGGTTCGACTCCCAGGCAGAGAGTTGTATCCCTGACCTTTCATATATCTTTTTCTTCTTTGCGTCTCTTGCAGAAAAAAAAATGATCACAACAGAGCACATATGATTAGCTATCCAGAGATTGCCATACACTCTTTGCTAGTATATCGGTTAGTACACGTGCCTGTCATGATTACTAACCTGACTTTCATCGCGGGAAAGCTGGGCTCGACTCCCAGGCAGAGAGATTGATGAGTGGAAACACATGCTTTGCATCTTTTTTTCTCGAGTAGAGAATTTGGTCCTTGCACTACGTAGAGTACTTACAGGGAACACTACGTAGAGTAGGGAACACTATGTAGAGTACTTACAGGCAACTTCTGTACGAGATTAGGACAGTCCTGAATAACTTCTTTGCTGATATATCGGTTAGTACACGCGCCTGTCATGGGTTACTGGGTGACTGACCTGACTTTCATCGCGCGAAAGCTGGGTTCAATTCCCAGGCCGAGAGATTGGTGGAAATCCAAGTTGATGTATCCTTTTTTTTCTATAGTAGAAAATTCGGTCCTCGCAATTGATGCTACGCGCGCCCAAGTCTGTCATTGTACAGTGAAATCATTCGTTAAGAGATCGAACAATCCTCGTTAGAGCTGACATTAGGACTACTCATGTAACTTCTTTGCTAGTATATCGGTTAGTACACGCGCCTGTCATGTGACACTCACAGGTTTCGCGCGAAAGCTGGGTTCGACTCCCAGGCAAAGAGCTCTGCTTCTAGTATCTCAACGTTTCTTTTTTTTTTTCTTCTTGCTTTCTGTCCCAAATAGAAAGAAATCATTACAAACAAAGCACATGTGGTCTGTTGCATTGTTATTAATAACTTCTTTGCTAGTATATCGGTTAGTACACGCGCCTGTCATTATCTATCTATGATATGCTAATCGCGCGAAAGCTGGGTTCGACTCCCAGGCAAAGAGCTTCGTAGTTTATGTTCATCGACTTTTTGTTGGTATCTTCGCCTCACCAGGCAAGAAATCATCACAACAAAGCACATATGATTTCTTCCATTTACATACACAAGGAGTCAGAGATGAAATTATCATTCAAAACACACGCGTTCTTTAGCTTTAAACCGCTCAGTGAGCACCGATCCCGATCCCGTTACTCATAGCCCCTTCAACACTCTCAACCCCCCCATCCGCATCCGCATCCGCCTTCTCTACCTCCATCAGATCCTCATTATCCTCCGCGACCTCCTCATCACCCTCATCCCCGTCCTCGTCCTCACCATCATCCACCTCATCCTGATCCTGTTCCTCTAAATCCAGATCTTGATCATCCCCATCTTCCACATCCCCCTCGCCCTCATCACCCATCCCCTCGCCCTCCAGATCCGCATACCCTCCTCCAGCTGCAGACACAGACGCAGACGCAGCCTCACCAAGCTCCTCCTCCCAGTCTACCTCCATCCGGCTCTGGCTCTGGCTCGAGTACGCGTGTGCGTGTGCGTGTGCGGGCAGGACGTGGTGCACGAGCGGCGCGGACGTGAACGGCGCACCGAGGTCTTTGGGTTTAGATTTGGGTTTGATTGTAGGGCGTGGGGGTGCTGATGCTGCGGCGGCTGCGGCGGCAGTGCCGGATGCAGAAGGGACAGGGGCAGAGGGGGCGGAGGAGGCGGAGGATGGGGGTGGTTTCTTTTTGTCTGTCTTGGCGTTTGCGCGGTAGACTGTGTTATATTATGTAGCGTGAGATTTGGGTTGGGTGTTTTATGGGAGAGGATACGGATATATATACGTACTGATGAGTTCGTTTTGGAGATTTTCGACGAGGTCGCCGAATTCGATTGTTTCGAGCGCTTTGAGGACGTCTGAGGCTGAGATGGACTTGTGTTGTTTTGAGATTGCTACGTCGTGTGCGCTGTGTTATAGGGATGCGTATAAAAGGATCTGTGAAGAGTCGAATCAATGATGGAAGAAGACATACGTCGCAGCTGAGGGGTAACACAATACTATAAGCACGCGAAATGAGATACGGTGCATGACGGGGCATACCGAGGTAGTTGATGAACACCGTCGAGCCCTTCACGAGTGATAACACCGTCTCCTTCTGCAGTTTTGCATTATCGGGAAGCTATATGTAATGTAATGTAAATATGAGGTATCCTCTGTCATTGTTGGCGTACAGCGGATTTGGCGATTTTGGTGACGAGGCTTTTGGGGAGCTCGAAGTTTTCGATGCCGTCGGAGACGAGGTCTTGTTGGGCTTGGGCGGAGATGGGGCCGGAGGGTGCGTCTTTGCGTGGCATGAGGTCGTAGTGAGAGGGCACGCGCCGTGTGGTCGTGTTTGTTGAGGGCGTATCTTACAACTGTTCCCACCAGCCTCTCCTATTCCTACCAGCCTCTGCAGCTCGTCGCCTGGAGTGTCTGAATTCAGGTTATCGGGGTCATGTATTTGAGCGACGTAGCTATGGCTACACTATAAACTGAGGTAGTCTAAGAAAGGTAGGAGGAAAGAATTGTAACTCGAAGTCCCAAGAAGAGATACTCATATGTACTGATCATAAACTTACTGTGATAACGAACTCGCCAGTTGGAATATATCCTAATTCGCTTGTTCGTTCTGATCTGTGGTGGGTGATGAGATAGTAACTCAATAACTGACAACTGTAAGTGAACCTTACTTCTTAGAGAATCCTCGCCAGTTGGAATATATCCTAATTCGCTTGTTCGTTCTGATCTGTGGTGGGTGATGAGATAGTAACTCAATAACTGACAACTGTAAGTGAACCTTACTTCTTAGAGAATCACTACTCTGCAAAGGGTATGAGGCTGTTGTAATGTTGTGTGGTGAGCGACTCTGCACTGACCTGACTGATGATAGTGGTAGTTGAAGTGCAAGTTGCACGAATGGACAAAAAATGAGAATTCGTTGCATCTAAAAACTGAGTGAAACTTCGGCCCTACTGTTCCCGACTCAGCATCCGCCAAACGATGGCACCGAGTCAAAAACGGCCTTTGGTGTTTTGATGATCCGTGGTATGAATGGTTAGTCCGTGCAGAGGCCAAAAACGCTCCTTACCCCCGCAAGCCGCGTTTACGTCGACCTCTTAGTTCTCGTGTGACGTTACCGTACTATCTGAACAGAAAGACCTCCTAGCTCTCTCTATTACTGATACACCTGTCTCGAACATGAGACAGGAAGAGGGAAAAGTCCATAAATCAACATATTTGTAGATATATATAAACAGACCTTGAAGGCTGAAAACTGTAAGCTAACAAAAACATTGCTAACGTAGAAAGGAGAAAAAGACAATCTTCCGGACAATTACTAATACATCTACTTTCTCTTAGGCACGCCTCTTAAAGGCATAATACGGACTGCAGCCCATCATCCGGGCACAACTCGGCCACCGCGTCAGCGGGAGCCAATACTATTATGGTCGACTACAGTAGACAGGGCAACTACGTAAGTGAAGCGCGCACAGTAGAACCCGACATAGGGCAAATCCCCAGCGGGTATAGGAAACAATAAAGGAAAAAAAAATAACAAGAACATTGTAACTGTAGAATGCACCTTGCGAAGGAACTATTTCAAAACCCCCTTTCTCTAGGAAACTCACTTCCACATCCGCACAAAACACGTGTTGTCACAGGTGGCAACTCACCTCAATTCGTAAACACCACAGGACTCGTTGTCAAAAAACTCCTTCCTTTGGAACCCCATCTGATGCTTCTGGCCACTGCCACTATTCAGACTAGGGGACGACTCCATATCCATACTCATATTCATTATCTGCGTCATCATCCCCAAATTTGAGTTCCTGCTCTCGGACCTGCACATGCCAGGATGATCATGGTATTCGCCGACCAGGGGCATCGGTGACGTCAATGGGCTCGAATATGTTGATGCGCTCAAAGGTGTCGATGCACTCGAACGCGTCGATGCACTCGAATATGTCGATGCGCTTGAATATGTCGATTCGGGTCCTAAGCTAGGACCACCATATGCAGCGTAGGGATGATACCTATGGCTACCAATGTTGGATAGACCAGGTGAAGATCTGGGGGAGTCTCCAGTTTTGCTGCTAGCAGTCCCAGGTCGTCGGATAGACTCGGCAGTGCGTCTCGCAAACGACGTGATAGTGTGATGCAGCCGCAAGCCTGAAGGGTAGAACGCGGAGTAGTCGAAGGTTTGCTTATGTGATGGAGCAGACAGGTAGGTGAGGTAATCATCACCACCATAGACAGAAGAACCCGAAGCAGATGAAGTGGATGAGTGTGTGCGGTGGTAGGGGGCTGAGGAACGATTGCTGTTGTTCTGAACATGGCCAAGGGTACTCGGCAGCGACGATGGAGCACCGACATTTCTGAATGCCGGGCTAGGCTTTGGGCCCAATGCCCAACTCGCATTGAGACCATCTTGCTGGTGTTGTTCATTGGACCCAAGGTTGTTATGAACAGGGTAATGGTCCTCCTGTCCAAGATTCATGACCCCATTCTCGTCGCTCGACATGTCATGGTGTTGTTCAAGGTTATTATGGGCAGGATAATAGACCTCCTGCCCAAAACCCATGATCCTGTCCTCGTCGCTCGACATGTCAGGTAAGTCACCCGGTACCTCCACCTCGCAAAAGCGAGGACCAATGCCGTACAGCTCAGACGACCCCCCAAACATACTACCATTGAAATCCGTCAAGCCCATGCCCATGCCCGTCCCAAACATCCCAAGCCCCTCATCATGATCACTTTCCACACCCGCCTCATGGTCCTTCCCCACACTCGTACTGCGCCCATCAGGAGATCCACTACTACTCTCGTCCGCTTCGTCTCCACTAGTCTCGATCCACTGGTCAACAAGTCCAGGCGTCGCAGTAGCCCCAATAGCTCCACTATGTCCTCTTCCATGCGTTCTCAAATGCTGATTCAGGCTACCACTCTTCGAAAACTTCTTGTTACACTGGGGACACGCATACGGTCTCTCCATCGTATGTGTCCTAAGATGTCTCTCGAGATGCCCCATGCGCTTGAACATCCGCCCGCACGAGAACAGCGGGCACGCGAACGCCTTCGTCTTCGTCATCGACGCGCCATCGTGTGCATCCTGCTGCTGAGCAAAAGAGGGCGTGTAGCCGGTGGTAAGGGTCGACGCTGTCGTTGCAGGTGGTGCTACAAGGGGGACCGTGTGTCTGTCAATTCGGTCCTGACTCCTTGCACGTTGATGGCCGGTTCCAGTAGTTGAAGAGCGTGTACCCTGCAACTGTGGCTGGCCGGCCGCGGCACTATAGTAAGACTCCACGTTTGGTTCATGAGCACCATCCGCAGCCGACAGCTCCCCATCGGCTTGCAAATAAAACGTATCCGCAGTGGAGACAGATTGGTCACCAAGGAACCCATCGTCCCGCTCACGACTGTCGCGAAGACTCTCGTACCTGTTGTGGGCATCACCCAAGATATTCCTCCCGTGTTTCTCGTTGTTGTTTGCTCTCTTCCTGCGAACCTTGTACGTCGAAGCACCGCCAAGCCACGAACTCCCAACACCGATCGCTTGAAGTGCAGCAGGATTGCGCTGCTCAACATCAGCCATCATCTCGTCTGCGTCGCTAATGCTGGCGTCGCTCTCTTTGATTGCGCTACCATTGCCGTTGCGTTGTTCTTCACCACAAGGCACCAAGGGATTCATACGGTAACTTTTCTTAAAGGTGCGAACCGCGGGTTCAAGCTCATCCGCTCCTTCCATGACCAATTGTGCCTTGGAGAATTGTTTGTAAAGACTCATTTTGGGATCATAAGTGAATGACATGGCAGGCTCGCCGACGATGACGGTGGTTGGTTCCTGACCCATTTTTTCGCGCTTGAGATCTCGTTCAAGGGCGTCAAGGAAAAGGCGATCATGCGGCACGGAAAACCTGTGCAATGAGGTATGAGAATCTGATAGAAGCAGAAAAAATAGAGAAGTGATGCACCAGTAGAACACTTTT